AAAAGAAGTTTCTGTACTTTGACTATCTTACTTTTCTTTACTTGACATTGACCCTTTGTGTGTCAGTAATTGGCACTACCAGTGGTGAATCATGGTAAAAAAAAATTTTGACCTAAAATAAACTTCTGTTGATTTTTATCTGTTGCTCAAATTGCAAGTACACTGCATTAGAAGTTGAAGCTGTAGAAAATGTTCCATAAAAGTGAATACTTTAACTATTCTACACCAATTTGAGAAAGCAATTACATTTTAAATGACTTTCCATTGGGCCTGTACTTTTTGACAGGCTTCCAGCATCCTTCACAAAACATATGCGTGCTGTGCATGCAAGAGGTATTTTTTGGATGGGTGGGCTGAGATGGGGCACCAACGAATAACTGATTGTTTTCAATTGTGTAAAAGAATCAAAGTGGCTGTTATAAAGCCACTGAGCTCAGATTATGGTGAATGGAAGGCTGGAAATGAACTTTATGTATTAGTTCATAGCTCAGGAGGTCCACCTCCAGGAAAATTTTTACAGTGCTGTCTTGTATACTTTTCTTTGACAAGCAGTCTTGCACAATTTTATGAAAGATTTATTGMGTTGTGTTTTGAGTTCTTAATCAATGATAAGTGTTAATAAGTCAAAGATTATCAAGGGGTGCCTCCTGGCACTGTAATTAATTCTTTTTTTCCTCAACCACGAGGTAGTGCAAAATCACATGACCTAAGCGCCACTAATGTAGTGGCATGCAAGGCATGTAAACAACAAAAGATAGCCAAAAAACCCAACAAAATGTCAATGTTCAGTTGTGACATTCTCCTCCCAGTGTAGAATTAAATTGGGTGGAACACTCCTCTAGTAACACCAACTTCCCTACTGGTTTCTTGTATTCTGCAGCTTTCATTTTAAAATACTTTTGGTTAAGGTCTAAGCATTCATAGCAATAATAGGTTACAATTATTCAATGAAGTGGGGGTGAATAGTGGTGGAGAAATATCCGCCACATTTACCGACTCTAAGGTGAATAACTGTTTTGGTATATACCACACAGAAACCACAAAAAAATATTTGACTTATGTCAGTTTACAGAAAAATGGTCTGGAATTAAATTGTTGAAGCACAATTTTGTCTCTTTGGGTGCTTAGAGGTGAACAGTATTTGCTAATCACTTTSTGATAGATTATAATAAAAGATATTAATCCCTCCTCCATGCAGTGTTCTCAAAATTTTGTAAACTCAGAGAACAGTGTTTTCTTCTGCAGATTGTTGCAAAAATGTATAATAAGACAATGATAATTTGCTTTTTGCATGATATCATGCTCAGTGGATGCTTGTTGCATGGGAGTTGAACCTGTACAACTACTTTATATCTGTTCAGTCTGCCAATACACATTAGACAGAAATATGATAATGAAGAATATTTTAATTTTATTATTGCAGCAGTGAAATAGTATCTACTTTTTCTTTACCAGGAGCCTTCATTCCGTTTCTTTTCATAACACTGTTTGTGGCCATAGTGTCACTTCTTGCTGAAGAAAGGGTTTTCAATACCATCACTTCATCAAAGGCCTTTTACATTATTGGTAGCTGTCATGGCCTGGCTGTGGCGTGGTTG